TTTTCCCCCCCTCTCCACAAAAAGGTACCTGTACCTTGTATTACTATTGTTTTTTTGTTGTTAACTTTCTTCTTCCTAGATAGGGGTTTTTATGTGAAAGAAACTATTGATTCTACCTATTATGAGAGTTTCCATTCAAGCTTAGACAATAACAATAACCTATCGGCAGTATTATTGTCAAATGCGTGTGGGGAGGTTTGTTAGTCTAAATAGGCAGTTACTTAATGACTATCCATACGTGTGTTAAGGGTGCTAGTGTCTAATTTCAAAGTTACATCGTTTTGTTTTTTAAATTGAATTATTCTTAAAAGCGTACAAACTGCCTCGGGGTTATTCTCTTCAGAATGCTGATTCTGGTTCGCATGAATTAACGTTTATGCGTTATCACTTCATTTGTGAAATATTTCACTTTAAGACAATACATTATTACGTGTTTGTTTGTACAGTCATTTCTCTGAACATACCCTCCACACTGAGATTGTTTTCACCTGCATGATGATAAAGCGGATCGTCCAAGTTGTAAGGCTATCACTATCAGGTCATTATTTAAACCTATCTTTAAATTTGAAATCTTTTTCCTATGTAACCACTAGAGTCGTTGAAGACCCGTCACTGTTTAGAGCAAACTTAGTTTATTTATGTCGTATTTCAGAGTTAGGTTTTTGGTTCCTATAATGTAATTTTCAATTATTCTACCCTTAGTGAACATTGTCTCCGGTGCTCATAATGTTTTATAATTTTCAACATAGCTGACAACTCTTTAGATCTAAGGGTAACTCATACATGAGATGTCTCTTTTCATTCTGAGTATTACTTTAGACTTTGTAGAACTATGTAAGGCGTTCCAATTTTGATTTTGCAACAGAAAAAAAGGGAAAAGGGTAACTGTTATTCATAGCGAAAAGTCCTTATCTGAGCTTAGTCATAGTTTCCTTTTACTTCTCTTTGAGCTGACATATTCTTTTTGATAGCCCCCCAGTTCATAAAATGGTAGTTCAATTATGTGTGATATTAATTTTTTGCTATTTCACACAAACCTAAACTGTCTTCTTACTCTTTGCTAGGAACGAAAATGAACCCACAGAATTACAAGACACTTGAAGGGTAAAGGTTTTTCTCAAAAGATGTTCTACTTATCACTATTACTCATTTTACACTCATTTTCGTCCGGATATACAATACAGTCTTGCACTCATATAGCGACACACGCACATAGTCAAACACGCACATAACGAACATATTATTTTCAGTTATCTATTTATTATCTTTAAACATATTTATATTATTTATTTGTATTTGAAACACATACATAGCGTAAATTCATACACAACGAAAAGATTTCTGGGAACCGCTAATTTTTGCTATATGAGTGCTAGACTGCATATTGCTGTTACCAGATGTAATAATGGAATACATATTACGTTGGGTTTGTTGGGTTTTTTCAGTTATAACATAACCGCTGCTTTTGTAAATAGAATGATGCTTTCATTCGTTTGATGGACCTTTTCCTAACTGTGTTAAGATTATAATTCCTTTTTGCTTGTTGTAGTTCATTGTTTCGTTTCTTCAGTTTCTTCAGTTTTGTCAGTCTTTCGTATGCTTTGAGTGGTAGCTTTGTTGATTTCTCAGATCATATTTTCAGAATAGAATCGCTTTCATTCTGTTATACAAGCACTTTGGTCTCTAAATTAACCATGTACCAACAGAGCAAGGACTTACTAAACAGAGCAAGGACTTACTAAACAGAGCGAGTCCATTTTATCAGGCTAAAAAGAGCAAAATTCACAAGTGATAAGACCGTTGGTGTCAAATCATTAATATGAATGGCTGGAGTCCCGCTTCTGCTGATAACCAGACGGTCATATTTAACTTAAAAAGCTACAACAAAATGAACAGCGCAAGTTCCATAAATAAAGATCCAAACCAGAAGTGTACTACAGAGGATTCGCCCCCTGGAAATGGAACGAATGAGCAGAAATTTGTAAGAGGAAAGAATGTGAGGGATGCAGTTTTGGTTCTGTGGTTACGTAACAAATACGTGGGTGTATTGCCACCCTTTGTCAGATATATTCAATGTGTACAGTACGCACATAATATTGTGTTTAAAAATATTGTTTTTGGAAACAGATTCAACAACGCCTTTTGTATCTGATCCAATTCAATCATGCTACCATCAGTCATGTCACTGCTTGTAGATCTATTTTCTCTCTGGTTTAATTCGTTTTTTCGTGAGTGTTGCTGTGTAGGCATGTGCGTGTGTGTGTGTGTGTGTGTGTGTGTGTGTGTGTGTGTGTGTGTGTGTGTGTGTTT